TCCCCGACGGGGACCCCGTTCCCCGACGAACACTAGTACGAACTCGTCTCAGTAGGCAATTTATCAATGAATTAATCGGTGCTTACATGTTATGCTTAAAAGAAGACGTATATCAACAATTTTCTGGTAAAGAATTGGTTATATACATAAATTCATAAACTCCGAATAATCAAAGAAGTAGTAACAATGGTATCGTACTACTAATACTAATCATGCAGCTATACAATTCCGCATTAACACATCTATTAAAATATATGCATTTTTCAACGAGCACTTGAATGTTCATTCTGATTTACCCTAATATCGATTACAAAGGTTATTATATGCAGTGGTGTCAAGAATCGATCATTGAAGAAAGTGAATCTGCACTCAATCTCAAAAAGCAGAACTCACCTTCAGTTCCTCCTCAAATAATGGTCCACAAACATCGAGTGGATAGTGCAGTTTACCCGTACGATAATAGTTGAGTATCTGCGCGAAAACGCCTGGATGTCGATCGAAGAAATACTCATTCAATACTGGATCATAATTAGCTAAATTTGTTGTCAAACGGCTCAGCCTTGTCGCTGGAATCTTTTTCAGAGTGTGTTTATAGGTCTCATGACGTATTCCACCCACATTCAATATTACTCGATATTCACTGTCCATTTGTGCGACGCTAAATTCAATTGATTTACTAGTTATTATCATCATTAGTATTATCAATGTATTTCTCACTATGATCAATATTAATGATTACTGTGAACATCTCAAATGTCACTATCACTGCTCTTATAATACAGTTTTCATGCATGCTCATCGTAAAGAGCACGATTTGATTAATACTGATACAATTGCACTCTTGCTTTCAGGTTCAATTAACAATGATTCGCACTAGCATTCAACCAATGATGGATGTACCAGAAGTATCGTAAATGATGTTAATCAAATCACGCATCTTCGTATATGATGTACTACTGCACTGTTATAAGCGAATCCAAAATGATTACAGTTTCACATCAACACCTANGATACCACGAGTATTTGATGACATTACAAAGAAAGTACAAGCATTCAGATCAAATGGCACAACATGAACTATACTGTTGAGAAAATTCTTGTGAACGAAACATCTTATAGGTGGTTCTGAGCATCGTTCTGAACTAAATCTTATAGCTTCAAGTGTGCTGTTCTCTGCAATAATGACGTTTTCCACTCAATTTGTCAACCTTTTCCGTGCAACACATAACGCGTCGTGCAATTATATCAACATTATGGAATGTGGATACAACGATTATATATATAGTTCAACTATGACAGCTCATAAGTGTGACACTCGCATAACATTAAACTGTCACTATTAAGCACCATATGCATGAAATTTCATTCTTAGTGCTTGTCTTAATAGCAATAACTCTCAAGATGAAAATATAAAAATAATGGTTTTAAAAAATAAATCCCAATTGTAAGCGGCACAATAAACTCTGCAATATAGAACATGATAGAACAGGAACGACATCATTCTGCACTAAACTGTGATCCGATCTCGTAAATGAGCTTTTTGATGTGTTTAGAGGAATGATGCATCGCTATGGTTATCATCACCGCCAATGTCCTCAGCACTGTCGTCCTTAAGATACCCTCCTCAAAAAAGTATCACATTCCACGACTGAAACTTTCTTAAAACGGTTCCCTTCATGACGAGTGAATGTTTGTGCATTGCTAAATTCTCGGAGGATGTATGTGATCGATTGTTGATGTGGTATTGCTCGAATGTGGTATTGATGTAATGCTCAAATGAATGAATGCTGCACAAATTACATTTTGCAACTCTTTGCAGCATCAGTTGACTTTTAAAGTAAGATAATGTTCAGAATGTTCACTGTAAATAAGGAATGAAGTCAAGTTGTTGTTATTGTTGTTGATTTGATGCTGATGACGTGTTGACGTTGTTAGATGGAGGNNNNCAATATTAATGATAGTAATGATGACTAATAACAATTAAAACTCCTAATTAAAGCTTATAAGCTCATTACTCAGTACTTTTCGACGCTTTACGAAACTTGCAAAAGCACTATCCAACAGATAATGCCACAAAATAGATCAACAACAATAATGCAGTGCACTTATTCTCGTGAAATGCGCAAAAATCATCTGCGATTTGCGGTCATATCCTATTTCTCAGTTATCTTTTTAACTCAACCAAATACGTTGTATGTCAAATTTGGTATTTGGTTGAGTACGTTTCTCTAGAGAAGAATAATCCAGAGAACAATTGCCTTGATGAAGTGGCGAGAAATTGTTTTAAATGACCATTGAAATGACTCTTAATTCAGCTGATTCGAAAATGTTATTTGCATGAAAATGGTTGATTTGTAAAGATGGAAAACTGCAACAGATTGCGGTAAGACTGCGATCTGATCCGGAAATTTGTCATAATCGTAATATCATAATTGGTGACCTAGGTTAATCACTATTCTCTCATAACTGATCTCTCGTATCAGCTGTGGTGTAATTATAATCACTTCACAGAGATATTGAGATAGCGAAGAATTTCAGCAGACTATTACAAAGGTATTTTGAAATGTTCTGATCGTCGATTGAATAAGCACCGACAAACACACACAGAAGAATTTTCGAAATCAGCAAGTGCATATGTTGCAAACAAATAACGAAACGTTTAATTGATTTCTAAATCGACCGAAATCAGACGCATTGAACAAATTGTATTGCAATTTCGAGCAACTTAATGTCATGCTTATGTTCCATTGATCTCAGTGAAAATGAGTGATGGAACAACGGCAAACGCATAATTTAGGAAGGTGAACGAAAATAATTAGCGGAAACCACATTGCCATTCAACAGTGAATTGCATATTGTTCACATTCTCAAATGCACTACAATTATACTATTATGTAGCCAATACTACATCCATATATGATATATGAGCTTGTCGAACGACGTGTGAACAACGTTCGAATGGAAAAATTTCATGTTTGGATGAAATATATCTTTGAAGTACATTTTCACTGGCGTACATCTGGTCTTTTCGCAAAGTTCTCGGCTGCTCCTAGTTATCATGGATGTTTTCGAAATGAAGCCGAGACAATCAATCGGTTCTCTAAACGCAATTCGATGATCATGGAAAGCCATCGAGATAAGTGCAAGATCGCTCCATATAAAGTGTGAACATCTTCGACAATAATCAAAGCATTTCCCCAAATGTGACTAGAGAATCTATGCACAAAGGCAGATGTGGTATCAATCTCAGTCAACCGAAAGTACAGAGCACGAAAGCTAAGCGACGACATTGTCAACGACACTTTTCAAGACCTCGGAGATGCGTCCTGTCCCATGGTTCATCGTTCCTTTCAAATCTGATTATTCGTCATACTTTCCAAATGAATCAAATTTGTCGTACCGCTTTCCAAATGAATCAGTTTCAATCACAGTCAAGCACTTGAAATTCGGCGAGGAAATGATATTTCTGAAACTCACATCGCAGAATTTTCGATACCAGTGATAAGAAGCAGATTTGAATCGTTTTTCTCAACGGAACGATTAAGAACTATATAAGTAGTCTATCTTTACAAAAAGTTGAATACAATCGAAAGCAACTCAGTAGAAGCAAATGCAAAGAATCAGCTCTGAATGACTTGATACGATAAAATTGTTAAACTTTTCACTATCAAATCAAGTGGAGGAACAATGAGTGCTCAATGGTTATAGCAGCGTTGATGTCCACTTCCTATTGCTCTATCAATTTATTGCTACTTCTACTGCAAATCTGACCTGTCTCATGCAAGAGATATCCTTTTTCAATATCATTGTTTCTACTCAACTCTCAGATGCGGTTAGCTCAGAATCCCGAAACAGTTACACCCATGCACCGACGTAATATCTCAGTCGATGTCAATGACGTATCCTGTATCCCGATGATGAGGATTACTTCAGGAATATCAACACGTTTCCATCTATCTGCGTATAAGTCAAAGGAATCAAAATGTAAGGTTACACCGATAATCCTCAGGTCTATCCAAGGAATATAGGATCATCTCCAGATTCACTATTCAGTCTTTGTGATCTTATGGAACGGTGCAGTTTTTTGATCAAAGAATTTAGGAAATGATCACTTTAGAGCAAGAACGAATGCTCACTTGCTCGAATAGTTGTGAGAGTCCAAGGGAGGACAATGGAAGTAATAAAGGGGATGTATTTGATGACGATAACGACAGTAATGATAATGTTGATCACAACAACATCAATGAAATTGGTAATCAAGAAAATACTGACAATAGGACTAGCAATAGCGATCACGACTACAACGGCAATAAGCATAACAATAATAATTATTATGTGTAGAAGACAACCCCATGGCGAGAATGACTGACTTTCCAAACACGGAGTATTCATTAGCGAATTATAGTAATATGATTAGGGTGATATTAAGAAGACATTTCATCTGCATTCATTTTCATCAATAAGATCACAAATAATACTCAGAGTTAGAATTACGATTACATTCTCTTTTATTCTCATTTAAGGTTTCGCATCAACAACGATAGCAATTAAAATACTTATGATAGCGATAAGTGACCAAGGCAATGTTGAATTGTTCAATTCTAGGCCGGACAATTGCTCAAGTACCATCAGATGATGGTTGAATACCACAGAATAGGGTGCTAATCACGAGCTGACGAGCAATATTCTATAAATGATTTTAACNTGTCAACAATGCATTCACTACCGAAAATAAACGTTTTGTTGCTATGATAGGCGAACAAGCCATGATATGATGATTTCAATGGATAACAAATAATATCCTCTTTCATCAGTCGAAATTCTTCTGAAGAAATGACTGAATGAAGAGCAGACACAGTGAATGCGAAATTAACAATTCGCTACCTGAATAGTTAAAGCAGAAAATCTAGTCTAATCGTTTCGAATCAACTGAAGAGCGACACAGCTGTGTTCAACTTGAAAGTTTTCCCAGTGTTATCATGAATTATTCATTGAGATTCTAGAACGTCCATTTGCATTTAAAACGGTGCATAAATCGACTCATTAGATCAGTGAGGTGGAAACTTTCGAGAATATACAACCAAAAACAATAATATTTTATGTGTTACTCAACAACTAAAGTCCCTACCGAACTGCGAGTTCGACTCTCAGTTCCAAATAAAACAACTCGAATAGTTTCCATAACGACACTCAAACAACGAATTTCAACGATCGAACAGAACTGATATTGAACGAAGATGATTTCAGCGGGTTGTTGGATGAGATTCCATCAAAATTCAATCGTGAATGAATGGCAAATCGATTTCAAGTACATCTTCTGATTTGGATGATATCTTCAATAATATATAAAAAAAGTATTGCTCGGGTTTGACAGATTCCCAGTTGTTTTCATTGTTTCGAGTGGAGAAATGCTTCGACTTTGATATGGCACATTCAGTGAATAACTGATCGTGTTATAGACACATCTGACAACAATTCAGAAAACGATTCTAGATTGTCGCTGAACATCGCAGATAAACAGCGACGAATTCGCAATAAAATCAGAACGGAAAACGAGCGCATGTCTCGCACATTTTCAATTAATAATAGTGCGCAGTTATCGTTTTTTGAGTGATTGAAGAAAGACTCGCCTTGAATTGAATGCGTCA